TCTATGCTGGAGTTGGGAAGGTACTCCACGGTGATTCTTCGTGTCATGGTGGAATCCAACGCCGAGGCCAAGCAAGCCAAGGCATCAGTGTGTGCATTCTTATCTCGAGGAACTTGCTTAACTTTGACTTTCTTGAACTTGTGGAGCAAAGTCATTGTTTTATGATGGTAAACCCTCATTCCAGGATCCCTTGTCTCGAATTTCCCGTTGACTTGGTTGACCACTAACATGGAATCGCAATGGAAGACTAGCTTTGTAGCTTCTGCTACCTTGGCTAATTTGAGTTCGGAGATGAGGACTTCATATTTTGCCTCATTGTTGGATGCTTTGAAGCCTAGCCGAATGGCCTGTTTCGCCATCACTCTGTCCAGGGAGACTAACAGTACCCCGATTCCAGAACCTTTGCTATTAGAGGATCCATCCACGCAAAGGCTCCAGGACGCTTGCCCCTTGCCAAGGTCCCCTCTCAGAGGAAGAGAGGCTCTTCTAGGATGGGGGTCTCCCTGGAGAACTCCACTATGAAATCTGTCAACACTTGACCTTTTATGGCTACTCGAGATTTGAAATGGATATCATGCTCCCCTATCTCCACCGCCTATTTAGCAACATTCAGCTTGTGGGTTATCACCTTGGGGCTTATGCCTTTCATCTCTGTGGCGTCCCATGCAAACTCATCTGCACTTCTTCTAAGAAAGTTTGCCATCTCTTCCTGCTCTTCTGGGGGCATGGTGGAGTCGATTAGAAAGAATTTTTTCTCGTCTTCGTCCACCAGGATTACCTTCTGGAGATCTTCCACCAAGCGATTTGTCGGATTCGTTCGGGGGTCGTCTATTCCAAGACGCCCAGACTGTAATTGCTATTTGTTCAAAATCTCTTATGGGGCTCGCTCCTCTCTGGAGGCAACCCTTGCCCTTATTGTAGAATAAAAATAGTTTTTAGCGAACGCTTGGTCCCCACAGATCTCTTTCATTCCCTCAGGGGTGGAAAACTTCAATTTTTGATGGTAGGTGGAATGTATGGCCCCTAGGGCATGTAACCAGGCCCATCCCGTGATGATATTGTAGTGTGAGTCGGAGTCAATCACTACGAACTCCATGTTGACAGTGATGGGCCCGGTAGTAACTGGCAACGTGATTTTATCCAAAGGCAGGGCAAATGAACTGTTGAAGCTGATGAGGGGCGTCTTGACTTTGGTGAAGTCTGAATCCCAAGCCCCATGCGTTTTAAGACTACGAAGTACATCACCTCGGAGGAACTTCTGGAGTCCACCAAGACCCTCTTAACGTCAAAGTTGTCGATCTTCAAGGTTAGGACCAAAGCAACTCCATGGGGGAGGGCCACGCCTACAAGATCGGTGTCAGAAAAAGTGATGCTTGTCTCGTCAGTTCGGGGCCTTTTGCTCGATTGGCCCCCATCTCCCTCGTCAAGCTTCCTTGTGAACCCACCTTATTGAGATCAGATTGTAAAGTTTTGGATGTAGGATGCTCTAGCGGGCAGATGTGGATAACGTCGATTACATTGCCTTGGACGGTGGCTGGATTATTGGTGCCATGACCCTCCTTGGATGCCGCCTTGATGTATTCCTTTAAATGCCCATCCTAGACCAATTTTTCTAGGAAAGACTTAAAGACCCTACAATCTTCGGTGAGATGCCCATAACCCTAATGATATGAGCATTTTACCTTTTGGTTTCAGGAGGATGGATCACCCTGCATCTTAGGTGACCATCTGAAGAATGTTTCCTTCTTAATTTTATGGAGTAGTTTGTAGATGGGCTCCTTGAACACAATGTGAACTCATTTGAGATAACTTCTAGACGGAGGTACCAACCCTTTTCGGGGAAGTCCGTCCTCTTTCTCCTTTTCTTTTTTAGGGGTGAGAGTTTTGCCTTTTCCTCCTTCTACCTTATCTTTGATTCGGGAGTACTTGTTTATTTAGGCCATCAACTTGCCCATATCTACTAGCGTCTTCTTGGTGAGGGACCGATAGAGATCGGTTTCCTGGGAGAGGCCGAGTCTGAAGGAGGTAGCCGCCATGACTTCAGAACATCCCTCCACCACATTTACCTCCTCCCAGTACCGGGTGACATATTGGCGGAGGGTTTCTCCTTCCTTCAGTCTTAGTGTTAGGAGGGAACTAACGTCCTTGGGCCGCCTGCTCCCTATAATGAACCGGGAGGAGAACTACCTGGTCAACTCCTTCTATGACCCTATACTGTTGGGTGGAAGAGTCTTAAACCATTTCATGGCAGAATCCCTGAGGCTCATAAAGAAGACCTGGCATAGTAACCGGTGGTTTGAGTGGTATAGAGACATCATCTGCTTATACTATCTAAGATGGGTTTCAGGATCAGATCGTCCGTTGTAAGTTTTGAACTTGGGCACCATAATCTTCTTTGGTACTTTCATTTCCATTATATTTTTTGTGAAAGACGATTGGATGGCTTCATCATCGGTATCATCCTCCTGTGGCGCTTTACCCCTTCTCTTGGAATCCAGCCGGGCTTTGAGGTCATCCCCTTACTCGGGGAACATCTCTCTATGTGTTCGGTGCCAAACAGGATGATCCCCAGTCCCTGAGTGCCGGACGGAGAGGGTTAACCCCTCCTTGGACTCCTCCACGCCCCCTTGCCCAGAAAGTCCCCGACGGAGGTCATCCCAAGCTAATGGCCTAGCCCTCTTGGATGGAACCTCCGGGAGCTGTCCCTTGGCCCTCGAGCGCTTTGGAGCCCTAGAGCTCCCCGCTCTGCTATTCAAGTGATTTCTCAGATCCTCAGGTTCCATCTCCTTAATGGAAGGTTCCCGAGACCGCAATGAGTTTCGACATCCTCCATCGGAAGCTGCAAATTCGTTGAGGTGGCTGAGAACGTTCACGTTGTCCTTCTCCAACTGACACAACCAGTTCCCAAACTTTTCTTTAATCACCTCGACTAGTTGACGGGCCAATGGGCGGACCCTCCAGGCCCGATACCCATACTAGTTTGGTGGGTTTGCTCTCTCAAATGAACGGAGAGCCATTTGTTGGCATTTTCGACATGGTCTTTCGTTCTTGATAACGATGGAGCTGGTAAATCAAGATACCTTTGTTAGGGACCCTTCCCATTTTGTCGAGTATTTATTATAGTCACTGTTTTTTGGAAAATCTAGTTGTTTTCCATAGACGGCGCCAAATTGGGCAAGATGATTTTCACACAATAGTTAAAATGAAAACAGATCTCTCCCGTGGTGAACTCAGGTCCATCGAGGTAGTTAATCCAGCAACAAGGAATGAGTTGAGAGGGCTAAAGGGGGTCTAAGGAGTGGTGATGAATTATCTCAGGGGGTGCCTGACCAGTTTCAATAGACTGCAGGAGGTTCGTGGAACATTACAAGCAAGTTAGCAGGGCGCCGGAGTGTTCTATGACATATCCCCTCCAACAATCAAGTCAGTTCTTTGAGAGAAGAGGAGAAAAAAACACTGTGTATGACTTTTTTGAGATGATTTTACGTACCTTTTGCAATGTGTTTTTGAAGACTATTTATACCTTCAAAGACTAATCATTGCCGACACTCTAGTTAGTAGTTAGTGTCCAGAAACGGGGCAGTGTGCCCCCTATTTTACGTGGGGAATGTCTCAGTATTGATTGCTCGGGCTCCCGAGCAGTTAATGCTCTTTCTTCGATATAAAGACTTTAAATGTAGGGGCCCAGGGCATTTAATACCCCCTATCCTTGGCTTCTCAAGCCACTGTGGAAGTCACATCATTTGGGGATTCATTAAATGCTTGCTTAGAATAGTCGCTTATCAGCAGGGGTAGATCGGTCTTCTTACCCTTTCTCCTGTACTTTACGCCACACGTCTGATTCTCTCTAGTTGAGTGTCCACTCTACGCTGCCATTCTGACTCCATTGTGCAAAGTGCCCTCCTGACTCCTAGTCTAGTTTAGATTGTTCAGTTATCAATCAGTACCCTTCCTAGAAGCTGAAGACTTGGGGTAGGCGCGATGAGAGCACCCTCAGGCCGAGGACACCTATTTCTCCTCAGGTGGGAGGGCATATGCCTAGGGTGCCAAAGAACATGTCCACGGAGCAGGGGGGTCTCGATGTCGAGGGCACATGGCTTCGGCAGCACAAAGAGGTTCTTCAACGTCGAGAACACGTGGGTTCGTCAGAGGCAAATATGTGCCTCGGCGCCGAGGACACGTGCCATCAATCCAATAGCCTCCTAAAAATGTCCCATCAATAATTAAAATGATATAATCGTGTTATCGTATACTTTTAGATATAAAATTTTTTAAAGGTATTAACAATTTTATTGTTAATTATCTTGGGTAAGACTAGTACCCTATTGTAGTTATTACAAAATAAGAACGATATTACAAGTTAATTTGTTGAGATTAGAATAAAATGAGATTATTTGAAAAGATTTTAAATGTTTTATGCTCAATATTAATTATTTTTGTAGTTTTTTTATCTACAAAATCATAGCTTTTTGTATAATATCTCTTTTAAAACTATAATCTTATCCAATTATTTAAGAGGAAAAGAATTATAAAATATTAAGGGCGAATTATACTTTACATCTTGAAAGATTTAAAAATTCTTACTTTATACTCTCAAATATTAAAATTTTTATATTATACTTTTAATGTATTAAAAATGTTACAATGTAATCTTTCTGTTAGTTTCTGTTATTCATTCTATCAACATCAATGGTGATTTTTGACAAAATAAGAAACAAAAAACTAATGGAAGGATCGTATTACAATATTTTTAATAATTTGAGGGTATAATATAAAATATTCAATTTTTAAAAATATAAAATAATTTTCTTTAAACTTTTTCGGATGCAAAGTGAGATTCTTCCTAATATTAGTCAAGATATGGATAAAAGGAAATATTCTTGGACAAGATACCAAACACATACTTAGATCACTACGTGGGTCCCAGAGAAACTCAACTTGACCACAAAAATTGGCACACAGTGGACCCATGTGGAGAGCAAATTTGCCAATGGGAGTGAGGCAATCTCACCTTATCCACACTCCCACCATTTCCCTAATCTTTAAGTGTAGTGGCACTTACCCCTTACACCAAGCACTTCGTTATCTTCGACCTTATTCTCTACTTTGTTCTTGGTGGCACCACCAGCAATGGCAGCCATGAACTCCAGTGTGCTGACATGCAACTACGCCTTATCGGGCTGTGGATCCTCGGAGCTCACCGCTAAGCTTGCCTTGACACCATCGGCTGCATCACCAGTCGGGCCTGGTCGGAAACTGACGGTGATTAGAGCTCAGCAGGCTAAGATTTCTGATTCAAAAGAATCCCGCGAGAACGAAAACCGAGGAAGAAGAGGTGCACTTCTTTGCCTTGCAGCTGCCCTTTTCACAACTGCTGCTTCCACCACCTCTTCTGCCAATGCTGGAATCATTGAGGAATTTCTTGAAAAGAGCAAAGCTAACAAGGTTTGTTTGCTTATGATATGGTTGTTTTACTTGTTTTGATTGCATCCATTCTAGGCCAAGATAGCCGGTGAACTTTATATTCTAATGCGTGTTTCTGTTAGTTATTTTTAGATTCATTTTCTGTTAAAGATGACCTATGGTGACTAGGGGTGCCAATTTATAGCAAGAACCTCTGCCTGCGGGTGGAGGTTCTTGCTCCAAGATGCGCTTGGAACAATGGGTTCCCGGAACTGGAAGAGCATTTTGAGATCTTGGAACATATTCAAGGGTTCAATTGTCACTTCGGCCAACACACAAGATGAGACTTTCTTACCGTGGAGTGGGTTTTTGTGAAAAGGGAAAAACTCCGTAAGATGTCGGAGAAGCGAAATATATGAGATCACATACGTAGGTTGCTCGTGGCTAAATATGAATTGAGATGAAAGCTTTATAAAACCTTTTGTAAAGATCCCAATCTTCCAAGTGATATGTGGGACAAATATCATTATAAGTTTGGCCAAGTTACCAAGAAATAGTTCTTTTGTGTGAGTAAGAAACCAATGTATTTTTATGAGTCGCCCTCGTTCCGTATATGAGTTCTTTTGGATTTCTCGTATCGTTTTTTGTAAATTAGCTTCTCGAGATCCTTTAATGACATGACACGACATTATTCGAGTGATACCCCTAATAGTGACCTATTTTGGTTCTCGTTAATTAAGGGCAGTGGAAGAGGCAAATTGGGTATAGACTTGACTCTTGACATTGTTTCAAAAGGCAGAGGTCAATTTGGTATAGACCTAACTCTACACATTGTTTTCAGGAAGCAGACTCTCTTCATTTTCGATTCACAATGTTATGGTTGTTATCACAGTAGTTTCTTGTAAAACTGTCTAATAACATAACATGTATACCATGGTAGGAATTGAATGATAAGAAGAGGTTGGCTACAAGTGGGGCAAACTTTGCAAGAGCATACACTGTTGAATTTGGTTCTTGCAAGTTCCCTGAGAACTTTACCGGCTGCCAAGATCTTGCCAAGCAGAAGGTTAGATGCATATTCATTCTGCTATTTTGATTCAGATCCCCTCTAGTATCCCCCCCCCCAATTTTCGTACTTACAATTACGAAGAAAGGGGAAAATAGTATAGGAGACCTCACTTTTTATAGGTTTACTAATGATTTTTGTGTATTTAGATTTCTTTGCTAATGGTTTGATTATTGCAGAAAGTACCATTCCTCTCTGAAGATTTGGAACTAGAATGCGAAGGCAGGGACAAATACAAGTGTGGTTCCAATGTGTTCTGGAAATGGTGAGGTGTGAAAGCTTGTATTTCTGTCTCATGTACTTATCCAACTTGTATCAAGTTTCATGTCAGAACTTCTGATCCCTTTGTTCTGTAATCTTCTCCCTGTCTTTCTATTTTGTTGCTTTCTTTTTCCTTGTTGAATACCAAGAAATGGTTCGACTTTGATATCAAAAAATTATTTTTCAGTACCCTCCTTTCTTTTTTTATCAAATAAAAGTGTGTAACATCCGTGAAGTATTCTTTTTTTTTATTTGTTTTACATTATCTTATCATTATTTCCGAGATCAATAATCACAACTAAACCAAACCGAAATCTATATTAAATTTTTGGCTATGATAGCAAATTGTTATCCCTTGTAAACACCAAAGGACTACATATAAACAATTCCAAGGGTTGACAGATATGAACACTTAAAAGTAACAAAACGAAACGTTAAATTTTGTAAACATATCTCAACCTCATTTTATGTACAGACGCCCCTTAGGGTTCAAAGAAGTCATTTCTACATCCCTGAGTTTGAGACAGTAAGACTGGAACAAGTATAAATTTGTAAATAAGAAACATTATGAAAACAATCAACAGAAAGAATGGTTCTAACCCGATCTGGCAAATGCTGGAAATCATCACATAATCTCCCACACACAAGCCAGCCCAACTGCACAAGACATTCGGTCTCTGCCAAAATTGCAGGCTGACTAGGAGGCCCAGAGTGGTTAGCAACCTCATCAATGATCTTGGCAAAATTCATATTTGAATTCCATTCCAAAATTTTAGAGTTTGAGTTCACAAACCAACGTCAGTCATGCCCATAATGGGGTTCACATTCACACCACTTAGCTCAAACCAAAGAAGCTCCAGAATATGAACACCAAGATGAAGAGCCATTGTTCTGCAACTGGGGACATGGCACTGGGAAAACTGCATCAGTAGACCCCGAAACATATTCACAATTCCACCTCACAGTCGGGGATAGGCCGAGTATACTAACATTTCTCATGCATATGCCTTCAAACGGGGAATCATCAATACCCAATAACACTGGAGCTTTGGTGGAATTTACACTTACCACATTACTTATATAAACACCCTTTACTTTTGGTATAGCTTTGGGGTCCCATCCCTCATCAGGATGGTCATTGGCACCTCTACTAAACCTGATGGGTACCTTAACTCTCTCCATTGTAATGTTAATTATAGTAATATTTGCAATATATCCCCCTCTCCCCTTATCTGTTTTAATTCGCACCCCCGCTGCAGAATCTCTGACATATAAATCCTCCACAAGAACATTCGAAATACCACCAGACATCTCGCTACCTATTCCTACCCCAGAACATGTAGGAGTCGTGCCTGAAACTCTCCTTATTATTATGTTTGCACTTGGACGGGCCACGGTGATACCATATTGATCCCAACCGCTCTTCACTGCTACAAGATCATCCCCACTCTCAATGTAACAGTCCTCGATGCACACATGCACACTCGAATCTGTGGATAATTTGAAAAACATCAGCAAAGATGTGTTTCCTCTAATTTCTCTTTCAACGTGGATTTTTCTAAATAAAGATGATTCAACATGTGACATTTATTGCAATAATATTGTGAAAGGGAAACAGGAAGGAGTAGTATACCTGGGTCTATTCCATCGGTATTTGGAGCATTGAGGGGAGCCAAGATCGTCATGTTCTTTATTACAACATTACTGATACACAACCAGATACACACATAATCTCAAAGCATAGAACCTAAAGAACAAATAACTGTAGATGGAAAAAAACGAGCTATTATTTCTACTATTTCGAGATGACTTTATGCCTCAAATCCAATCCAACCCATGACCCCCAATCCCTTATGAACTCTTGAGAAGTGGGACGAGCTATTTTCTCACACTTAAAACTCCTAAGGATACTTAGTTAACTTGGTCCCATACAAATGTTAGGTAAATGTTTTCTGCATTGAACTGGAGATAACAATAGGATTTCTAGCCAGTTCGAAGCAAAGTATGCAATTCTGAAAGCAAGTTCATAATTGACCAATCAACGCATAATGGTCATCAAAAAAAACCAAAAAAAAAAACGAAATGGTCGAGGCCCTCTCTCTCCATCTTCAAACTGGTTCATTCACCAATATTGCCAACCAGGTAAATTCTTTTATTTGATTTGATTTTTACTTTGTTCATTTTCTTTGTTTTCAAGGTGCTATTAGGTTTTCAATAGTGGCCGAAAATATATATGGTACAGATAATCTCTGGCAATGACAAAATCCTATCCCAACTATTACTTAACTCTTATTTTTCTACTAGACAAATGCTACTGCAAACATAAAATAATATATTTGACCTACTGTTGAATACCACAACTCAACTCAATAAAACCCTATGCTAACTACTTGGGTTGGTTGTCTAATTCATAGTCTAATATCAAATCAATGATCATGTCCTCCGTACGGGTGCTTTCTGTAACTGCATGAACTTTGATATAATTTCTTCCATTTGGTTGCTTTCTATAATAACAAGAGCTTTGATAGATAGGTACTAGCATGCAGCTATATAGCTTCCAGTAAAAACATGTTGAGAAAATGAGAAATTAGAGGCAGGAAAACCAAACCTGCAATAAACAGGATGGACGGTCCAAAACGGAGAATTGAGGAGAGTGAGGTTGGAGATGAGTACATTATGTGAGTCCACTAATTCAATAAGGTGGCCTCTGGTGTGCTCCAGAGATCTGTTCCACCATAGGTCCCACCACATTTTCCCCTGACCATCAATAGTTCCATTCTGCCCTGAGATTAAGAGAGATTAACCAGAAGTGGAATGATTAGATGACACTTAGCAACCAAATTGTTGCAACCTGTGGACCACTCATGATTATGTTTAGGAGGCTTGTAATAAATAAAAATTCGGACAATAGCTTAAAGCAAAAACAAAATGATCGAGTAGCTCAAATCACAATGATAACATCTCTTTTTACTTTTTAGTTTGTGTTACACTTTTGATATGCATCAATAAAATGTAAGTGATGATGTTAAAGTTGGTCGAATGACACGATCTTGGTAAATATTTCTCCCAATTGCCATTTGGCAAAGGTTTTAGTTTTTTTTTTTTTTTCCTGAAAAGTAAAACAATCTAACTCTTTTAACCCTGAAAAATGTCTACAGATCATATGCAGAGACTACTGACTATTAAACAGCAAATTTGCTTGAATCAAAATAAACAACCTATCCTCCTCCATTTAGCCTTCCTACAGCGATGGTTCCATTGCAGCTCCAAAAGCCACTGATTGTAAGTCAAAATCCTAATAAGATGGCATCCGTAAAATGACACAGAACTACCGAAGTCATTATCCTCGACAGTCCAATATTAGGTCATGGTACTTTTATATTGCTCGTTTTAGATGGCATTGCATCCTTAAGAAGTGTAAAGGGTAAAACAGGAGAATTTAAGTTGAGATTAACTGTGGGAATTTGAAGATATGCGATCAGTGAATGAACATCATCACATGTTTAGGTTTTAGTGAGTTTCATTATTATATTGAATGGTCTGACATTTTAGGCATGATTCTCTTTATTTGGATTATGATTAAGATCTTCCCTCCATCACAATCCACCAATATTTCAAACACATAAAGAGGAATATGAACAACAAAATATAAAGATTATCACCACTTGAAGTGGTTTTTTTCTTTTTATAATAGCATCCCATCATACCTAAAACAGGGTAGAATAAGATACATGATATCACGCGTGGAAGTTTTCTTCTACATAGTAACTGAACACTTTATGGTAACATATAATATAGGTCTTCCTGTTTGTATTTCAATTCTGGCATATGAACCATATATGATGCCACTTTGATGTAATAAATTCGATATTACGATTACCTGGTTCAATAAAAACAGGTCATGCTACTTATATATTGGGGGCTTAGATATGGGATCGGTAAAATGACACAAATGTGACATTATTCTGGACTATCTAATAACAGGCCATGCCACTTATATTGTTGGGTTGTAGATGGCACTGGCTCAACAAATAAATTATTGGTAAAACAGAAGAATGTAACATGGGATTTTAAGATGTGGGGACTTGCGAAGAATCATGAACAGTTGAAGGAACCGCATTCCTTAGTGAATTTCATTATTTTATTGAGAGGTGTAACATATTGTAGGCATGATTCTCTTTATTTGGGTTATGGCTAAGATCCTCCCTCCACCACCATCCACCAATGCTTGAATATAGGCATGATTCTCTTTATTTGGGTTATGGTTAAGATCTTCCCTCCACCACCATCCACCAATGCTTGAATATTGCAAAGTCATATAGGGGAATAATAACAAAAATATAAAGTTTAGCATCACTTCAAGTAGGCATTTTCTTTTTCTAATAGCACTGAATCTTACCTAAAGCAGGGAAGAATAAGATACATGATATTATGCATATTAGATTTAATATAAATAGTAAGCAGACACTTTATGGTAGCATTTAATATAGCTCTTGCTTTTGTTATTTCACTGCTGACCATATCCACCACAACTATAAATTGATCAACCTGTTCTTCTACCTTACGAGAGACCCTATAAAAGTACACAAAAATGAAACAGAAATTTAATTCTAATGGAATAAAATATAACAATTACCTGTAATTACAACGTTGGTGAGAGCTTCTCCATGAATAAGGCTTATATGTCTCCCTCCCAACCTTTCTCTCCCTCTTCCATAAGAAGGCAATGGCTTAATGACAGGCCATTCCTTTGGGTCCTGTTTTTAAAATAAAATAAAAAAAACCAAGATTTAGTGAAACATTAAGGAAAGAGGTTCTCAGACATGGCATGAAATTACAACTAAGTTACTGCGTCTGGTAGTTTGAAACTTATTACGAACAGCAGGATCTCATACAACAATATTGCATTCCTACGGTACAAAGGTTAGCCTAGTGAATTCATTCCTTATCTTTATCTCACTGGTCTATCTGTTAAGATTTTACCCTTGATATACTTCAGTAGAGAAGTATAATTCCTAGAAATAAATCTAAGAGTAGAAGAGGTTAGAAAGTTAGTAACACAACACATAAGTAATAACATTGACCATAATGCAAATGGGAACAGTACTACTTGATTGAGTATTTCCTTCAAAATCAACAGTTCTATGCAGAGACGGGACAGGATGGGACCAAGTGTTCAAATTTTTTTTTTTTTTTTTGTGGGGCTGGGAGGTTGGGTGCAAACAAGGATGAATTGAATATGACTCATCCCCAATTGGACCTGTTAATCTGGAGCATAAATATTATATTATCCAAAACATAGCTAATAACATTTATCAGTCTTCTTAATCATCATGACTTCCTTTTTCCATCTTACATTAATTTTTTTAACTATCTGTAACTTGTCATAATAACCTCCAACTACTTCTACAATTTCGTTAAAACAACTTGCTTACTTTCTTAGTTTGGATTTCATATCTTATTTTTAGCAACTAAATAATAGTTTAAAATGTAAATAATTTGTTTTGAATCAAATCAGTTATTATTATTGCCTATTTCTGCCTTTTTCAAGAGCCAAAAAAAAATAAAAATTCAATTGGTAAACAATTTAAGTGGAAGTTACAATCCTCACTATGGAATAGTGCATCTACACGCCTTATTTATCAACCTTTTCCTTCGACTAGAAGACCAAAAGCTAAAAATCGAGAATTTGGAATGGTTCATGGGAAGTGCCACTATTGGGCCTCCCCAGTTCTATACTCCTATGCAATATAATAAATTCATTTCACTCCGACATCCCCTCCATTCCCATCAAGCTGCTTTTTCATACAGAAAGCTGTGACCCACCTAAAGACCTCTCTATATGTGACATTCATATAAATCTACATTTTAGTTTAATAATGCATAATTAATTTTGTTGGGGGTCAATAGGTGAGTTTTTATAGGTCCAACTAATATTCACTGAGACCCAACAAATTTAAATGATTGAACATGAGATGAATAACTAAAATTGAAAGAATCTCCAAATCCTCCCAAGGTTAAAAGCTTTTCCCAAAAAAGTCTTTAAAATTGGCACAAAAGTAGTTTATTCTTGCATACTTCTAATAATGTTCATACCAGAAGACAGCAGGCAACAAACAATGCTAAACTTGATAAAACATCACCAGTAATAATTCCAAATACTATCAAAATCCAACAAGGAAACAAACAAATAGGCCGGCAGCATATAGTATTTTTTGTTTGTTTCATACCATGGCAGTTATAGATAAAGCTCGCAGAATTAACCCAAAAATTATTAGATTTAGATTTACTAATGAATTTCATTAGCTTGTCAAATAAATAGTTCGACACAAAAGACACCATTAAACTACTAATGTAAGAACTCGATACGATATGAATCGAATATCCACCACAGTCCTATACACAGATTTATAAAAATTGAGTCAATTTTAATACTAGAGGCCTGCATAGAGCAACAGCCGACCATAGTCAAACCATATGCCTACATGTCCAAAAAAGTACCTGAGAGCCCAAGATAACAGCACCATCTTCAAGAAACAAAGTGAAATTATTGGTGAGATTAAAACTCCCAGTCATCCACGTTCCTCTAGGAACGTTCAACTGTGCCCCACCATTCTCCTTAAACCTCTCCATATATTCTATCGCCCTTCCAAACGACGCCGTGTTAGACGTCTTCCCATCACCAACCCCTCCAAATTCCGTTATCGACTTCACCACCTTCCTCGGTGGCACGTCTCTGAAGAACCCAGAACAACTCCTTGGGTCACCCATACCCGATAACTCGGTTCTTTGCTCAGGGTCAGAGATGGGTCGTGTTGGAAATACTGTTTTGGTTGTGATCTGGAGGGTGGAAAGGGCTATGACTGTGAAGAGAAGCAATAGGAATGACCATGAAGGTCTTGTAAAACCGTTCTTTATTGAATTCAAAAATGGGTTTTCGCCTTCCATTGTTTTTTGCACATGAACATGCATTAAAGTTGTGGGTGTGGGTGTGGAAGGACTTTCAGAGGAGAGGTAAGAGGATGTGTTTTGTTATGATATCATGATGGATAAATACACATACATGCATGAGAATATTTATATACCCAAGTGTACATGTACATGTATATGTGCAAGTGTATGGTGGTGGTGGGCGGCGGTGGGTGGCGGTGATGTGTGTAGAATTGCGAGAGAAGACGGAGGAGTATGTCTGTTGGTGATGAGATGGAACAGTGCGTATTAGGGCATCATCGCTTTGTGTGAAACGGAGAAGGTTTGGACGTGTAGAATGTTCGTGCGCCATAGGGGCGCATTTTAGTGGATTTTCGGTGGTGGAGCTCCGATTGTGTGGTAACGGCCTATAGTAAGGGTACTCCATCAGCCAATTACATTTCGCAAGTCGCTGATTCGGTTACTAATTGTTTGACTTTTACTTTCGTGGCTGAAGATTATTGGTTCCAGTATTGGAGAATGCTGAAGGGCTTTGTAGGGCATGAAATAAAAAACCGAGTAACGGTGGAAGAGTGTGGACAAGACGGTGCTTTTCCTTGGAAGAAGCCGCTCTTCACGGGACAAGTTTGAAAATATATATTATTCTCTCTCTCTCTCTCTCTCTCTGTGACACAGACTAGAAAATACACATTACTCTGGCATACTAATACCACAAATTTTTTTATGGTATCGTATTTATCCCAGATTCGAATTTCGTATTAGTCATAATTAAATTTTAAAATTAATTATAAATTGTTCCCTTCAAGTTTAAGTCATATCGCAATTGATTCCCTCAAATATATTTTAATTTCAATAATTTGTCCCTAACACTTTCAATATTTTTCAATTAACTCTTCCCGTCAATTTCCCATCACCATCTCCCGTCGACGCCCCACCACCTAGAGAAAAGAGATTGCAAGAAGATGCAATTTTTTCGACAGGTAGAGACAGGCAAAAAAATAGAATCAAAGATTGAGGGTATGTTAGGGATTTTATATTTCTCACCACTTAAGTCAATTAATTTAGTCTATTGGGAACTTGAAGGGGGTAAATTGTTAAAATTAAACTTGAGGAATTAATTGTAATATGATGTAAACTTAGGGGGATAATTTGTAATTAACTCTTACTTTTAATTGGATCTGCTCACCTAAAGGTGTAGGATGGCATGAGACTCATCCAATCTATTATTAATTATGTCATATTAAATTTAATAATAATACCTTCCGAATTAAAAAAATCAAGTATTAAGAAGACATCTCCTCACCTAACCCACCATTTTATAGTCCTTCCATTAATTAAAAATATCCTTGATCCAGATGTTAATAAAATCACGTACTTTTTAAAAAAGTTTTTATTCAAATTTAAATGACACTAGATCAAAAAAATAATAAAAAAATATATTTTCGTCATACTTACTAGTTAAACAATTATATCATATTAAAATTGGGCTATTTGTATTTAACAATCCATTTACTATTCAAATTAATTAGTCATATTTTTTCATTTTTATTTTGACAAGTGGTCAATTCTACTCATTCTCTCGAATTTGGTGGGTTAATGTCGTATTAGCATGTAAGGTAAAAAATTATCTCAATATAGTTTACAATACAAATCTCAAAAGATAAATAAAATAATTTTTGTTATTCGCAGTTTAAATCTTACTTTAAAGTTAATCTAACGGCTAATATTAACACCCTAAATTTAATAGGAAAAATAGACCCCTAAGGGTGTGTTTTGAGTAACTTTTTAAAAGTACTTTTAGAAATTATTTCTCATAAATATTTTTTTTTTAAAAATAGTGTTTGAAACCGTCTCACCACTACCTCTACCACCATCGTAGCCACCGCCGCCACCACCACCATTATCACCACAACCATCGTCGCTGCCACCCCCACCTCACCACCACCACCAACACTGTCGCTGTCGCCGCCACTCCCACCATTGCCACCACCACCACAGGCATTGCCACTTACCACAACCATCACCGTCTCCTACCACCACTATCACTGTCGCCCACCATCTCTCACCCCACTACAAATCGATGCTTAAATTATTTTATCTTTTCTCTATGTTTGTGATTTGATTTTGAATATGAATACAAATATATTTATTATTTATTATTTTTTATTACTTTGTACCTTCAGACACAGATAATAACTAGTATATAAATATATTATAATAAAGTGGAGCCAAGTTTAAATCCAAAGATAAAAAGAGGCTGAGGTCGTTTCATGACAAAATAAAGTATTATCCGATGGACAACGTTATGATTATTAAGTAGACATAAGTGAAAATGGTAGCTTTAATTTACGCTATTGTGGGAGGGAGGATCATTTTCTGTTTATTGGGGAATCATTTTTTTGTTTATTGGGGAATCAATTTCTTTACTGAAGATGCCAACACTTCATACACATTTTAATTGGTATCGACAACCAACATAGTCACTAATCCTACTTTGTTCTAGCGATGGACCCGTGCCTAAATGCATACAAAAAAAAAAAAAAAAAAATTGTCACTTATAAAGAGTAAAGAAGTAGAGACGAAGCCTAGCACCTCACCAGTGGCAAAGCTTACTTTTACAATGAAACAATAATAAGCAAAAAATAAAAGAGGTAAAATTATGCTTTATGTTGACAAATATTTAACAAAAATTCTGAGCACTATAAATTAGATGATTAATGGTAACAACTCCCTAACGAAGAACACCTTGCCTATATACCTCAGCTACACATGCCATATGTGGTGACTACCACACCAAACTTTCAATTTGAAAAAGCAAAATGTAGTGAAGTTTAGTCAGTCGAAATATTTAGAGGAAGATTAAATCAATGATTTTGACAATAAATATTAATGTTCTCATGGCACCATAACATAATTATTACCATTGACAAACACATTATCCCATGTCGCACACACTTTATTGAAATGCAAGAACTAAAAACAACCCCAACATAACATAAAGGTTTCATCAATAGAAAGAAAAACAAACTTTGACTCAAAAAAAAAAAAAAAGAATTTGAGTGGAGTTATTTATCGGTTGATCGATTCAAACTTAAAAAAAAAATAATAAATTCAAAAGTGAATTTGTGTGGGATAACACACAGGTGGTCGACATTATGATGCTAGAGCATTGTAAGGTTAATTGATGCTAGCATATAATAAAGTAGACATCAAAGGGTCTCTTTGAACAAAAAAAAAAAATGGTCTCAAAATTGGTGCTAACACACACACACACACACACACATATTTATATACACTGGTTATTTCTCGTGCCTAAAGACACGAAATAATAAAAAAATTGTCAATAATAAACATATTTGTATTCATACCTAAAATCAAATTACAAAGATCGATGAGAGAGAGAGGAATTTAAACATTGATTGTAGTGGGGGCGAGTAGTGCTAGTAGTGATGGGCGGTAGTGGTGGTGGTGGTGGTGGAAGACGATGATGGTTGTGATGGGTGATGACGACCGGTTGTGATGGTGGCAACCATAGGTGGTTATGGTGATGGTAGTAGTTGGAGCGGTGGGGGTGGGGGTGGCGGTGGTGTGGGTGATGATGGAACAGTGGAGGTGGTGATAGTTGTGGAAGAGGTGGTGGAAAAGTGTCAATGGTGGTCGTGTTGGTGGGGCGATAGAAGTGGTGGTGGTGGTGGTAGTAAAGTGACGACAGCAGTGGTGATGGTGGTAGTGGGGCGGTGGGGTGGCGACAATGGTGGTGGTTATTGTGGCAGAGGTGGTTGTGTGGTGGTGACGACGGTAGTTGTGGTGGTAGTGGTGATAGTGGTGGTGGGGGTGGTGGGGTGATGGTGGGGGTGGGGGGGGGGGGATGGTTGGATAGTTCCGAACACTATTTTTTTAAAAGTATTTTGAGAAGTTATAAGTTTTATAAGTATTTTTAAAAAGTCTCAAACACATCTTTAGAAACCTATTTTTCCTATTAAATTTTCTGTGTTAATATTAATCGTTGGATTAACTTTAAAGTAAAATTTAAAGAGATCTCAACTGTGAAAAATAAAAGTCATTTTGTTTATCATTTGAGATTTGAATTGTATTGTACTTTATTATATATATATATATATATATATATATATATATATATATATATATCTATTTCTATATCTATACTACTAATAAAATGACCTCAAAATAAAAAATTTTTGATTCACTATTTTACTTTTATAAAAAATTTTAAATACCACATTATCCTTCTATAATTAAATATTTAAATTACCATAATATCTTTATGTGTTTAAATCTCCAAATTACCCCTAACATCTCTTTTAATTTTCTGTTCTCTATGTATAAATATTAATGTCTATAAAACTTTTTAATCAACTATGTTACCCTCAAAAAATAAGCACTGATTAGAATATTGCCAATTATTGTTATTTTATTTAATAAATTAGAAGTTAAAATTTAATCAAATGAATTTTAAAATGAATTATTTTTATCTTTGTTTCTTATAGTTAGAACAACGAATCATTGAGAATAGACAAGATTTTTCAAATTGTGTAACATAATACGAGTGATAAAAACATAATTTTTATAAATTTGAGATGATATTTGATTTAGATACATATATACTTAAATTTTTTTATTAATATTTTATGCACAAAAATTATTCACTAATGCACATGGTATATTATTGGTATATATAGAAATATAATGCATGTAAAGTTGTACATGTATGCATCATTGCATGTCAAAGATCAATGGGAAAGCTAGAGTCTTATATGGAGATGATTTCTTGGCCTTTCATGGTGCGTATGTATTTGGCGGGGTAAACCTTTCATTTTAAGAAAACTTTCCTATGGATATGGTAAGCTTTTTGCTTTTTCCCTTTTGGCTCTCTTTGAGGGTGATAATATTGCAAACATTTTCAACACAAAAGAACACATGATTGCGAATCTATTGACTTTCCATACATCCTTCTTTCCAAGACATTAGGTAGGTGTTTTTTAATTTTTAATAATGTTACATTTACCAAAATTTTTATCAATTTTTTTTATTTCAAATCAATGTCAACCATATGATCAATAGATCTTACAAGTTTTCACTAACTTTTTAATGATTATCAATTTGCCACATTATTTAGAATCTACAATTTGATAAACATAATATCTTCTAATCTCTGAAAAGTAGTAACTCGATGATTCTTGGAGATCAAATGTAGATCGAAAGTGGTATTTGATGACTCAATTTTAGACTTAATATAAAAAATATTTCACACTTTTTGAGTTCAATAAGCTTGATAATCATAACTAGATGGCTTAAAAATTAAAATATCTTTCGAACTTAAACTACTACTTATTCATTACAGAATGTCGAATATGTCATTGAATCAATATGTTTACACTTTTGTGATTCACAAACTTACCCCCCAATATTGTGACCCCAATTCATCTTGCACAACACCTCTCCATTGTTTACCACCACTTCACCACTGTCGCTTCACCGCCACCATGGCCCCCATCCACAACCACCTCCCCACCATCTACAACCTCCACATCACCACTCCCCTGCCACCACCAACCCTGTCGTCACACCCATCGATGCTCTATCACCCTCATTATCACCACCTTCATTGTCCCATACTTGTCACCGTCCTAATGCACCAATATCATTCCCCTGACATTAGCACCACCACTACCATCATCACTTGCTACCACCTCCTCCACACCATTACTGCCACCACTATCATCGTCGATGCATTTTTTAATTACCTTTTTACATTAAAAGACGTGTGTTTAAATTACATTTTTGTGAAAACAAGATAGTTTGAAAAGTAGATTAAAAAGTGTGGGATTGATGAAAGAAAGTTCAAAAAATTATACTGTAGATTGGTAATCAATTTGAAGAAGATGAGTGAAGAATTCAAAATTTATATTTAGCAATAAGAAAGAGTTTACAAGTTATCATTAAAAAAATTTGGGGGAACCTTCTTCCTTCTTGCAGAGTTTCTAAATCTGAAAATGTTTGGATCAAAGATAAGGGATCAGTTTGAATTTTTTCATGTCCCAAGTTTTTTGGGACAAGCAATACGTGAAAATTGGTATTTAAAGGTATCTTCGTTGTATTAAATATTTATTCTTTTATATAGGGAAAGAGTTGTTAGGTTTCTTGCTAACTTGGGTACATCCAAGGCTGGCTCTTAGGCTAGGTAATTTTATTGTCTGCTTGGGGCCCCAATAAAAATTCTTAGGCTCGTTCAATGAAACCTGATTCTACTTTTAGGATCTCAAGTTAAATTTTTAGACCCCAGTTCTATTAAATTTTGATGATGTACAAAAGTGAGAACAAGAGTAAGCTCTAGGTATGAGGAGATAGCTATGAGAAAGATAGCTATGTGTGAGAGATGTAGAGATCTAAAGGTGTGTCCATCATGTATAGAGAGTTTACAATTTATAAACACAAAGTCTCAGTTGAGTTGGTGGTGTGAAGAATATGTTACTAGTTTCTCAGGGAAGATAACTACAACTATGGATAGGTACAATTAGATATAGTATTGATCTTTGAGAGTGACTATTTTGATGATTGCTCTCCACGTTGTGCTGACTTCTTGGGTCCTTTGAATCTTGGACTAAACAAAATTCATAAGTTGGACTTGATTTGCTTTATAGCTAACTTGGACTGACCCATGAATTGGGCTTGGACCCAATTGGACTTGGGCTCATCAAATTTGGTCCCTCGGCAGAACTGGGCTTAATGGAATGCGAGTCCCTTCGGAAGTATTCCATTAAGCTCATTATCACATTTTGGGCTCTTAGATTAATGTCAGACTCGTTTCTTTCATAATATTATTTATGTTTAGAAATCTACCATGAGTAAAGAAACTATATGATATTTGCTTCCAATTATTGTTTTCCACTACTATGTGCAGCTCAAAATTATTCTATTTATTTATTTTTCTAAAATCTTACAATTCTTTGATAAGTTATATATTTCGGGAAATGAGTTACATTTGTTTTAGACTAAAATTGAAATTGTTAGGCATAACATGGAAACGACAATTGAGAGCTTGATGTTGGGCTTGAATTTGATTATCAACAATTAGATTTTGAATGGATTAGATCTACCATCCATTGGAAAAAAAACATATTTTCTAGAAATTTCAATGCAAAAATATGATTAATAATTTCAAACCCTATCTCTTGAACGAACATGAAATTATAGGTGATAATCCGTTGTGCTGAATTAGACAGTTTTCTTTTGGGAAAACATATTTCTAATGGTGCTTTTACCAACTCCACATGAATGGCGTAATAAGACCCTGTATAAAAGCCCTCCCCGGAATGCCTTAGCACTCTGAAAATGCCTACCTCGAATGGCCTCTAAAGAGAAACTATAATTATTTGAAAGTTTTAGGTGAATAATTATCTAACTGAGTCTTTATTGACTAACCCAAACCCCAAGAAGATTTGAAAAGAGGAAGACACTTACAACTCAATCTGGTGAAGTTAAACCACAATTGGCTTTTGGGATTGATTTGACTTTTTTTTTTTAATTACATTTAGAAATAACTTCACCAAAAGAGATATAATTTAACCTAAAATATATAAGATTTGACTTTTTGTTATCGGTTGTTTATTTGTAAAAACATCAACTACAATGGTCGGGTTTGAACCTTCAACTTATAGCTTGAGGCGAGGACACGATACCACTAATGTCACTTGAGTCATTGCTATATTGCTTTCATTTTTGTTGTTATTGCTATATTAATTTTTTGTTAAATGATTGAATGACTTAAATCTTGTGGTTAGACTTATCAATTGATCGAATCAACAAATCAAAATATTTATTCATTTTTACTATTTATATTTGAATCTAGTAAAAATTAACAATTTGATTTGTGTAATTTCGATCAGCTCACAATCAAAATGGATATTGATATATTTTTCTTTAAATTCATGAAATATGATAAATTATCAAACAAAATAACAATCTATATTGTATTGATTAATTGAGTCTGCATTGACTAAACCTAATCCCTAGAAGATTTAGAAAGAGGAACAAAAATTTGGTTTGTTCAAATTCTATTCTAAATTAAATTGAAACCACCAATCCAAATATCCAACAAATACTGTTCTCACATTCAACATCCGAACTTGTTAAAATGAAAAGTCTGATATGAAAATGTAAGTCGATTAGAGTAACTTAAACAAAATTTATATCAAATTTTTTTTTTGAATTGTAACTAGTTTAATCAATAATTATTCAATTGCATCATATATGCATATACATATAAATAATTTGAATCAGATCACAATCAAATAAGATATTGGCATATCCAAATCCAAATGATTCAAATATTATATACTAGATTTGAAACAAATTAATCAACAGTGTTTAGTTTATGACCACTTCTCAATGTTACAAGTGGTTGTTTCATTGAATTTGCTTCACTAATAGCAAATAGTTTCCAACGAAGGGCTACTCCAGCAAGTTTGAGTTTGACTTCACCCACTTGCCAAACAAGTTGTTTTATTTTAATTGCTATTTACTTATTTAAATGCTTTTCTATGTCTTATGAATATATTCTTGTCTGATTTTCTCTATATTTTATGTTTCCATGTTCTTTCCTCACCCACAATAACAAATCGAGAAGTGAAAATTACACTTAAGAAAGCCTATTTTTGATAGTTCAAACTTCAAAGTCCAGCCTTTTCTCTCTCTCTCTCTCTCTCTAAAGTCCACCTCCATGTCTGTATAACCATTCTCTCTCAACCTTTCCCCTCCAATCTTTCAGAGAGAGAGAGAGAGACTCATGGACAAAGAACAAGGGGAGATTCAGTTTATTGGATTCTTTGGCATCTTCAAAGAATCCTTCGACATCATCTCCTCATGGAGAAAAATCTTTACCCATATCACACTAGCCATTGTACTGCCTCTTTCTTTCATCTTCTTAGCTCATATCATAGTCTCTGAGCTTCTCTTTGCAAAGATCATCCACAATGAAGAAACATTGGACAATACCCGACCAGGAACACCTAAATATGCCAAACTCTCCGACGTTATCTCCTCTGAATGGACCGGTTTTTGGCTTTTCAAGATTGCGTACTTCATCTTCTTCCTGATCCTCTCACTCCTTTCGACTTCTGCAGTTGTGTACACCATTGCCTGTATCTACACCGCGAAAGAAATAACATTCGAGAAAGTCATGAGCGTGGTTCCTAAAGTTTGGAAGAGACTTATGGTCACTTTTATATGGAATTTCATCATTGTTTTTGCCTACAATATTGCTGCACTGGCTGTGTTGATTGCTTGGAATGTCTTGATAGTACCTAGTATTATCGGTATCACGGTTTTGATCATTACTTTGATCATATACCTGATGGGTTTTGTCTATATAAGCATAATCTGGCATTTGGCTAGTGTGATTTCAGTGTTGGAAGATGTGTATGGCATTCAAGCAATGATCAAGAGCAAGGGTTTGATAAAGGGTAAGGTAGGTGTGGCCATCGCGATCTTCCTTCTAATTAATCTTTGCTTCATTGCAATTCAGCTGGCATTTGAATGGTATGTTGTGCTTGGGAATTCACTTGGGACTAGAATAGGGTATGGAATTCTTTTCTGGTTGGTGCTATCCATGTTGATTCTATTTGGCCTCATCATTCAAACAGTGGTCTACTTTGTGTGCAAGTCTTATCACCATGAGAACATAGACAAGTCCTCATTAGCTGATCATCTTGAGGTTTTCCTTGGAGATTATGTTCCTTTGAAGTCCAAGGATGTACAATTAGAGCAATTTGATGTTTAATGTAAATTGGTCTTAGAGTCTTATATGCTAATCTCTATGAAACAGAATCATTTTCTTTTGTCAACATTGGGATTATGTACTTGTCATAGTTAAATCAAATCTAATTGAAAAAAATAATAAGGGTTTTGTTTAGAGCGATTCACTCATGCACTTGATTTGCACCCTTTCCCCAGCTTCAATTCCCCCCCCGGGGGGGAGGGGGGAACACACCAACCCCCAGCCAGCCGACCTTTATCCTACCCTGCCTCACCCCCTCTATCCTCCATCCAAGGGGCGGCGGCCATAGCCTCCGTCACCTAAATCCCTCAACCTCCCAATTTGTCTGCTAGTATTGGAGAGAAAAGAGTAGGAAGATGATAGTTTTAAAGAGCAAAGAATGTGAGAATTAAGTTACAGAAAGATAATCGTGGGACGGGATGGTTAAAGACAAGAAAGGCTGAGTTAGAATTTTGATATGAAGTGGTTAAAGGTAGGACTGAGACATAATATCAAGATTTTTAAAATTTTTTAAAGAATCTTAAAAATTCTAGAGTATTATATTGTAGGAGGTCAGGTCATTGAGACCAACTATACAGTGCTACACATAACTCGATTATGGTATACGCCTGTATAATGGGAATCTCGATTTTCTGAATTTGAAGATTCCCTACTCTTGTGATTTGAATCACTCACTTTCAGTAATAACATCTACCTCCTAGTGGGAATTGATTCCATGGTAGGTGATTTAAAATGAATTATAACATGCAAAAATACTTATATATGTGTTTATATACAAATTAAGATATGGATATATTCAAATGGGTAGGATTATTCTCACCTCATAAATTTCCGTTTTCACCCCATTAAATTATAAATAATAAAACTACTAAGTTTACTCATTTTTATACTTACCCCCATTCTATACACATCTCATTAATAATAAAATTTATCTTAATTTTTGTTAGAATAAATTAAAATAAAACTTTAAAAAACTACATAACTAATTATTTTGTTTTAATTTTTCAGTTTTAAACTTTACTATTGCAATTTAATTCTTGCATGTTCATGTCATTTAATTATAAAATTGATATAAACTTAATAGTTTTGAAGTTACATACTAATATATTTTAAAACCTATTATTCAAAAGTAATTAAGACGGTGCCTCTAAAACAAAGTAGTGGTTTTGGATAGAAGAAGGGTAGATATACCATTTTTTCTATATACTCCTCTTCCACCAAGTGTCGCTATTCTTTCTACATATTTCTTTTTACCTATTATTACATTTGCATACCTACAAATATTTGGTATTAGTTTACTTTGGGCAACTTCGATTCGAGTCAGGTTCACCTTTTCCTTCCAGTGGGCGTGACCATTGAGCAGGTGCTATTGCGAGCGTCTGAGTTTGATCTTGGAGTCGCTTGTGTTCGTTAGTACCCTCACATGGGGAGGCTCAGTTGTTTTAGGACAATGTTCATACGACTTTCGGACTCGCAGACCAGCTCTTTCTAATTTATAGTATCTTTTTTATTGTTATTTTGTGTTTGTTTATGTGATATTGATATGAATTTATTAATTAAAATTATGTATAATTATGCTAATTTACCCAACAATCTAAAGCAGCTGAGATATCAATGTCATCTTTCTTGCTTGCCATCTACAGTACTTGTGGATAGGGATTAAGTGGAAAATGAGAATTGTAAGGTTGGAAAAAAAAAACAAACTAATAATACTGGAAGCATCACATAATACAAGCCCTGATCATTACACTGTTCACTTGTTGAGGATTTTTATGTTGCAAGATGCACATAAATATTTGGGTAAGGTGGGTTGTATTCGCCAAAGAAAGAAGATAGAATTGAGCCCATTTTTTTTCTTTTTATCGACCGTATTGATCAATATTTGGTTAAAACACACTCCATTCACGCTTTGCAAACCAAAGTTGCAAAAGTCCACTCAAATGATAAAATTCTCATTCTTGAAATCTTTCTGGGAAATTATAGCAAAGCCAATCAGTAGTCTTCTTCCACTCTGGTAATTCTCCATTTTTATTCATATGTCAATCAGAGCCATCCAGCTAGCTCATAAGTTCTCAGGCCTGTTTCTACATGGCGTAGACTTCCCAACTGCAGCGTCTCATCCACTTGATAACTGCTAAATTCGAGGCAACCCTACCTCCTCTCCTTTCCATGAAGCAGCACATTTATATTGACATCACATTCCGAAGTTATTTTCATATTCTAATAGTATCGTCATAACCCCCCAGTATAACCTTGAATTTTGAGGCATGTAAGCAATGATTCCATCAATTCCTTAACAAGGGTTTGATATTTAGGACCTGAGCAAGAGCTCAACAAGATCATCCAAAGAATTACCCAATTCTTTTTACTTCCTGAATTTTTTTGGAAAAATAGTATTCCGGAAAAAAAAAATTATTTTCTGATAAACAGTTTTTTTTTTTTTTTGGAAAAAAAAAACAAAAACAAAAACCAGTAGCTACTTGCTTTAAAATTTTTTTAAACAAATAGATACTTAAATTTCTATAAAAGAAAACGAGTGTAGAGATAGAAAAATATGAGGCTAATAGAATTATAAGACATACTTTATGGATAATTATTTCAAATTTTATTCAAGGCCATCTCATATATATATGATGCATCTGTGGAACATGAATATAAAGGAATACATTTGTTTCCATAGTCTTTGATTACCAAATCAGTTTTGTCATTAACATTTTTGGACCATAACAACATTCTATAATAAAATTTAATTAACTAGTGAGCTGTTATATGTTTGCGATATCACTACTGTAATTATGGTTAAGGTTATAGGCTGCTATAACTGTTCGTTATTGTATGATACCTCCCACATTCTACAGCCTACTAATGGTTCTGATGGACTATGGTTGGTGATTTTGTTTTGATGTTTTAGTTGTGGTTGTGAATTCGAGAGAAATTTGAAGGAAAGTATTTGTTCAAATTTCTGGATCTATCAAAATATAGTTTACTTGAATCTGATAAAACCCAAGTTGGAGTTTTGCATGGTCTTATAGGTTGGAACCCATTTACTAATGAAAGAATTGTCAGGGAGAGCAATTCATGTAGTAATTTAACAATGAAGTCCACATTGTGCATAATTCCTTAAAAATATTACATAGCACCCATTGGTTATTTGAAGCTATAATTCGAGATATTGAATGAAAAGTAACTGTCATTTGATTTTAACGCTCAATTTCTGTAGGATGCTCTATGTTGTAATTGTTTATGTGCCTGTTAATTTCATATGAGCCGTTGGTTGGCATCTATTTATTATATTCATTTTTAAGTACTTTAATATACATGATTCATGTAAATATCAATTGTGAGGTATAAACTTTCTTCAAGGTTTTTGACTATTAGTCCACCATTAGATTTCTTACAATACAAACTGTTTTATTCATCTCATTAAATTCAAGTAGCCTATGCGTTTAATATTATTTCAAAATTAGTAGGGGCCTAATAGTTATTTGCTGATTGAAATTTCAGATATTAAATCTCAGATCAATAGGTGGTTATCCTTAGTTTTATTGTGAATGTAGAACACCATCGCTTTTACTACAGATATTATGCTTGAAATTATTGGGTACAAACTTCATTGCATGAGCATATATACATGTGATAACTAAATCACATTAGTTAGAGGGATCTTATGCAGTTTGTGATCATTTAAAAAAAAACAGCTATATATTTAGCATTTTATTTTTACATATATCTAGTACGTGATTGGTCATTGGTGATATTTGACACTGACTATAAAATGGTATCTTGAGTTAACGTTATTGAGTCATTCCTATAAGGAGCTTCTCATAGGTATAGATTTTAATACTTGCAACACAATGATTTTTGGTGCGAATGATTGGGCTGTAATGGGGATGTTGGTATAGGATTTACTATTTTCAAACACGTAAAAATTTTGACAATAATAGAGACATTAATCCTATTAAAGTTTATACCATTATAAAGATTTAGATGCCATATGGATTAATCCAAGAATGTCAAAATGCATGTTAAACTTTGGAAAGAGCACTGTGATTTCTTTCTGCCCCAAAAGACATGAGACATATGGTTTTGTTAATAATGTAATGTCTTTATACAATTAGCTTCAATGTCAAGGTTTATTTCTTATTGATGCTTTAACATTTTATGTAACCTTTGGAGATAGTTTGGATTTACGTTTTAATGTTTTATGAGAAAGACTGTACATAAGAATTGTTCCAAGACTAAGTTCATTTTATTTTTAGAAGCACTCCTTGAATTCAATTTGTTCAATATGTGATGTGAGCCAACCATGTGGCAAGAAATTCTTGCAATATGGGGGTTGATGCAAATGCTAATTTTATGAAGCATGAGTCAATTAGGCATGAGAATTCTTGGAAATGTAGGGGGTAAATTTTAAGGTAATAAAATATATATGAATTACCTGCTGAATTTGCTTAATGTTGTTATAAGAGTTTCATATATATGTGGGGGAGTTTCATATCTAAAAGTTTTTCAAACAAATGCATTTTAATGTGTTGTTTGAGAGTGTTATTTGAAAGACAGGTCAAATCAAATATCAATGAGAAGTTATGAAGGTGTGCACACCCAGCGAGACATGAACATGTGAAGAGTAATCATTCTAATATTTATGAAAGCTCAACTAAATAGAGCTGACAAATGACTTAAAAAGCTTTCGAGGAAAGCTGTGAGACACAAATATATGTAAAAGCTGATTAATTTGATCAGTGAGCTTTCAAGAAAAGCCTTGCTTTTGAAAAAAGCTGTCACAAGAACTGTCGAGGAGAATGGGTCTAAGCCCGCAAGGGAGTCATCTAGAGAAGTAACCCAACTTCTGTGATTGGGGACTCTATGAAGGAAGTTCAATGGGTAGAAACAATCCATATTGTATGACTCATTAGCACCGTTAATGAGAAAATATCCTAAGAGGAGATATTTTTATGCTCATCCCTATGGCAGCTGTGAATTTGTAGTGTGACGGTAAGGAA